ATTAGCGTACGCAAGCCTGACCCAGAGAAAATCTCGGACGCGGCTGGGGCCGGTGCTATGACTCCCGTGGCGAATAACGATGAGAGCTATGACCGTTTGAAACACCTATGTGATTGGGACTGCGAATTGCTGATGCCCAATGCAGTGTTGAGAAGGAATTGTCGAAGTGTTCAGTCATATCGCATCAGAGGGGGGGAATCCCGACTTATTTCTTACCAATTTGTAGCAAACTTCACCATAAGCTGTCTCTTAATGCTTGATTAAGACAGAAACATTTCTTATTGTTGTGGCCCTGAGTCTTATTTTAACGAAATGAGAAATTACGATGTTATTTGCATCTATGTATAGCATGTCACAAATTAAAGATGGATTCTGTGCAAGTTTAACTTGTCACGAGCAGTGATGGCTGGTGAAACAACAATGATTACCACAAATCAATGACTTATCTGTCGTCAATCGGATCGGGTTACAATGAAAGGTGAAGTAAACAATGATGCTTTATCTTGCATCAGAACAATTCATTCTTCCTATAGACTGGTTCACTAAGAGAATGTTTTTCAACCCTAATTCTCCTTGCATATCACTAAAAAGAGATAATTTAAAAATAATTTAAACTTGCTTTATAAAGATCAAAAACTGTAAAAACCAGTAAATGAAGTGACGCAGGAAAAGTAGCATTACTGTCCAGAAACATGTCAACACCGTATCATAATTTGATTAATAATCAAAGGTAATTAAACCGGAAATCCGGGCGAGGGAGGTCGGATATATAATGCACGAATGTCTAAAAGCCGTTGTTTCTCGCAGCTAACCATTGAACTTTTTACTTCGCACGAAATCTCACCGCTTACTGAAAATGACCAACGCAAGTGCGGGCAACGCGTTTTCGAGAACACGATTTCTCTTAGACGGCGCCATTCCCCATGCAAAGCACACTGACCACTAAATCCAATCGGGCAGATGTCATTCTACCTTCCTTGAGGTGAATTCAACTCGCTGTGGAGGAGCCGGGCGAGTATGAGAGCGTAGATTTGTGTAGTGATGTCTTTTGCTATCAAAGCCAATGCAAATGACTACCACAGAATCGGCTGGACCTGCAAGCGATCTTTTCTCCATCCATTGTCTTTCTCCATCTCCCCTTACCAAACATGCATACAGTAAATTTACAATGCACTACATATAACACCATGATGGCAACCAGTCGAAGCTTCAAATGTTCCTGCTAGGAAGATGCCCCCCGTGGAGAAAGTATCCCTGAAAGTACAACCTCGCAAGCTCAAGTAACGTCGCAAACCCCTACCTCATGTCTTCAGTGAGAATGAACACCCCTACCTCCCAGGATTTAACAGACACATACACTTACGGACGAATGACCTAAATCGCTTTTCCCACCCAATCAAGTACTCTGCCATCCGCTGTCGGAGCTGAGCGCGATTTCCTCCGCAGCAGGGCTACGGGATGACCCCCCCCCGTGTTGAACGGAAGGCGCCGCGTCTCGTCGCGTCACGTCTCGTCGCGTCTCGCCGACCGCCGCGAGAAGGTAATTAGTGAAAGCGATTCGGATCGCACCGCCGCGCCGCGCCGCCGTAAACATTCTCGCGTAATTGGCGCGACGCCAGGCGGCCGTAACGGCTCGCAGGATCGGCGCCGTTAATTTGATTCAACTCCGCTGCCGCGGCGGGAGCAGCGGAAGGAGTCGCAATCGCTGGGGTGCGACCGGCTAAGGTTGCTCAAAGCGTAAACTGATGTCACGACAGTGCCTGTGATCAGGAGGTCCTAGGTTCCAGTCCCGACTGTGTCACGCATTTTTACGCCAACTAGACAGCTAGACCAGCTGCTGCACGGAGGAGAATTCTAGCGGCCGGCTGCTCTGGTCGATGGTTTTCTGTGATTTCTCCGATCAACACTAAGCGAATGCCGGAGCAGTATCCTAACAAACGGGCCACTAACCGCGCGCCATCTTTCTTCCCGCTTTCTTGCCCTATCCTCACCGCTTACTTCCGCACACTTACACTCATGTGCACTGCACTACCGCACATGCCAGAAGAGCAGTCGGAAACTTGGACATTGTGCTGGTTGGGAAGGTGCCCCGTTGGTTAGGGAAACTCACTGGTTGGGGAAACACCGCAAGTCGGCATGTAGGTCAGCGTCGGATGTCACCATTTCAAGAGAGAGAGAGAGAGAGAGAGAGGGAGAGAGATCACCTCCTTCTCACGCAAAAAATATCCACTACCCCTTCGGGACTATAGAACCGAAAAGGACTTGACCATAGTAGTTAACGCGCCTGGAAACGTGAAATAATCAATAAATCGGCTTTGTGTGGATCACCTCACAGTCAATATCCATAATAAATGTCACATAGCTCTTATTGTGCAAAGGTATTCGCTTGTAGGTTGATTGACGAACTATTTTCTGTTTTCAACGGCTGTTTTCATTAATCCCTTAAATGTAGTTCATGTTAAATCGTGGGAGGTTGTGGTGTTTCTTTTCCACTAAAACTTGAGATCAGACGCCGCACTACACTTCCCTTTGCGAGGTACCTACCTCCATGTGTTTCCTTCAGCGGCCATTGCTGGGGTACGCTTTGGTCTCCTGACATGTTTGACATTGTAAAGTTTGTTAGTGTGTTTGTGTTAGGGGAGAGGAAGGGGCACAGATTAGGAAGGAATGCCTGAGGTCCTTGGCCTGTTTGCTAGGGTGCTACTGTTCCGGCATAGGCCTAGCATTGATCAGAGGAACCATGGAAAACTACCGGTTATAATAGCCGTTCAATAAAAGGCTCTAAATCAGCGCCTGAATTCGATCTCGTTATGTTGCTCAACTTGAAAATTCGCCACTGGCAGGTATCGAGCCCTAGGATCTCGTGGTCAGAGTCTCTGCAGTGGCAAAAGGGTTGCCCTGAGCCAACTCAGACCGCACTTACATGTAGGAATGGGAGGAACAGGTCGATGGACGAAAATGATTTCACTTCCTCTCTGCCATGCCATTTCATTACCACATATTATGCTCTCCGACCTCAAACGATGTTCTCTCGCTTGATCGATGGTTGCAGGAGTTCAGCGAAGCGTCTTGTTTTTTACTGAAATTTATTTTCCTATCAGCAGCTCCTGAGTTCCACTCAACTAAAGATGCTTCTAAAAAAACTTCATTTCTCCAAATCCTGCGAAGTATCGCAATCATCAATTTTCAACTGTAAGAATGGTATGTTTCATAATTAACCAGAACACATTAGTTTGTTTATCCGCAATGTCAGCCTACGAATTATTCGAATTTAAAGTTCTAACACCTTGATCTAATGGTCATAGAAATGTCAAAACCTTTCTCGTTATATCGACAATCTACTTCAACACTTTAGTACATAATTTTTCATTAATACTCAGAAGACATGTCAACTTTAATCTTCAGCATCAACGTATTTCACCACATCTCTACCACAACTCTCTGTGTCCATAGTAAACTATTGTATTGCTAGCATGTCCCCACATTACGGACATCGTAGGTGTTTTCATATTACTTGGGAGGTCGAAACGTAATACCTCACTACGTAGATCTCGAAACTTTAGTGCCTCCAACAACACTGGCATACTACAAAAACTAGAAGATATTACAATAAATATAGCGTATAACCGTATGATGTTTCGGTCTCGTGACTAAAATGGGAGGGTGATAGGAACGTAATACTTTTAACAAAAAATTTGGTGATTGAAACTGTTACATAATGTAATACTATTGTACATACAGAACAACCTATCAAAACCACATTTAAACCAATGAACTGAAATGTGTATTTTCCATGTTACCAGTATAACCACTTTCAAATTTCCCTCTCATTGAGTGTCCACGTCACATCCTGCGCATTGCCAGAAGTGCAGTGTTGCATCTCCCTTGTATGTTTAGATCCGTGTCGGTTACGTTATTATTCCCTTCTCCTTGTATGATGATTTTCAGCCCCTGTGGCGTCGTTTGAGTGGTGACCGGCTGCTGGAAAGGGGGCAGGAGATGCCGGGCGAGGGCAGGTGGCGAGTGTGCAGTATGAGGGATGGGCGCCGCGTGGGGTGGGAAGGCGGTGGGAGCTGGCGAGCGCCTGGGGATTCGGTGTGGTCCTTGCGCTCCCATTCATGCGAAGATCCGTGCGGCCGAGGCTGCTCTGAGCGCGTAGCCGCGCGCCCTGCCCTCCGCCCCGCCCCGCTCCGCTCCGCGCCGGCGCCACGCGTCGCCCGCCATTATGTCCCCGGCCGGCCGTTGTTCACAGGCAGATCGCGCGTTCCCGCTCCGATGGTCCCTGTTCTTTGTAGCCCACTCGCACTTAGTTTTGACTTCTTTCGGTCAAATTGTCAGATTTTGCTGCCCATTTGTTACTTGTGTCATTGTCGGTTCCTACTTTAGTCCGATTTTTACATTCTGGACAATCGTTGTTACATTTTTCGATTATTATTATTACAATTATTTTTTATTATTCAATTTGTCTCAACATAAAACACGCATTATTGTTTTATAATGCTGTTTTATAGCGACTTACTACAGTCTCAGTTTGAGACTCAATCTCAAAATTCAAATTTATCTCTTAATTAATTTTCATTTCCGTGGAATCCATTATAATTTCTTGTTTGACTGTGGATTCTTATTCATTTCATCGTAACAATCATACTGTATACAGCAATTCACTTACAACGCCTTCTATTAATATATTCGATCCTCCAAAATTGAATATCCATCACCTTCCTCATCAAATCTAATGCTCTAAGAGAATGCGGGACGAATTCCTATACCTTTCCATTTGGTACCACTCTACCAATATCAGAACTCAAAGGAGTTTCTGAAGCTATTGACTATTATAAAAGAAATTAAAATTAAATCAGAAATAGTACAATATTAGTATGTTCTATTTACGAGTGTATTACTAATAATGCATACAAGTTGATTTTCTAAAACCAGAAAGTCATGGAGACAAAATATTCTCGCTCTTGTCCTCTTCAACCTACTCCAATTTTAATAGCTGCATGGCCTCCGTCGCAGTGTACAGGGGTGTCCCCAGAACAGCCCTGTGGGCCGCTGGCTGGCCCGTCCCTCCGTCGCCCCGTCGCGACGCGTCGGCGCTGCGCCGGCCGTGGGTGGCCGAAGAGCGCGCAGCTGCCGTCCCCAGCGCGAGAGGGCGCGCCCGGCGCTTCGAAGCGATCTGTGCTCTCCGCGCCATCACTCCGCCGCCGACACGCCCCTCCCGCCCGTTTTCGAGAAACTTCATTGGGAATCATTTGAAAAACTTTGGCGTACAAGTGCAATAGTTCATAGAAATTGCTGGCAATATAACATATTAGCGACGTGAGAAATAGTTTACAAAAATACGTTTGGGTAATTTTTGAAACTACAAAAGAAAACAGCTGTGGAGTTTGTCTTCTTATGCAGTATATTTAGCACTAGTATTACCAAAAATTAAAAGAAAACATTTGGAGACATTTTTGAGAAATTTTTGTTTTCCATATTTTTTTAATATTGGCCAATTTCATTTAAAACAGCGCGAAAAGTACTAACATTTTCAAAATAAAATAAAATAAAATATTCGTGAACGAAAGAACTAATTATATAAAGACAATTTGTATTCAAATGATTTTTTTATCTTTAATATTGTAGTTGCTAAATATCGGCGACAAATCAAATAATTGCAAATTTCGAAAACTCACAGATAACAGTTAATATCCAACTTATGCATTTTTTACAAATGTATTTCACTCTTCTTACAAGAAACTTAAATAAAAAATTTGGAGACATTTTTGAGAAAAGTTTCAAAATATCACAGTGGCTTGATAAAAAGTAACACCAAAATTAAAAAAAAAATTCAAAATCGTAGATATTTGAGTCGAGCCAGATCGACCGAGGGATATTCATTTTGGAAAAAACCTACGAATAGTGTTAGAGCGACTAATTTCCTACATACTGAAAACCGATTTTTCAGCTTTCTTCTGTATAAAGGCCCATAATATGGATTTTTCTATTGGAAAATTGATGTTTTTTGCCACAATATTACAAAACTGTCTCCAAATTACGTATATACGAGTTAGTATACTTGTTCCTACACTTGTTCGTATACTTGTTTGGGTCCCACCGTCTTCAAAACCCCTTTTGAGACCTTTTGGTAAACATTTAATTGATTTTTAATCTCATTCCACTACATGAACTCACATATTTATTTAATACCCAACGAGATGTTTCCAGTACTGAAAAAATGCATGGAATTTTTACACGGCTCTCGCATTACCGCCTCCGAGCGAAATTCTGTGATATTTGAGTTCCGATTTCGCTGGCGCAGTTGTGCTAACTATTTGGAGAGCATTATATTGATAAAAGTATTTCGAGAAATAAGCTGTTTTAAAAATTCAAAAATCTCCAAACTGCAGAGAGTAAACGTTCTCTCTCTCTAGTCGATTAGGAAATATATATTGTAATACCTGTAACTTGTTTATCGGTTTCAAAAGTTTTATTAATTATCGAACTAATAGTATGCAGCTAAAATGTGACATACACTCTAACTTTATCATGCGGAACATACTGCGCATAAGCGGCAAGGTAGAGGAGTCTCTGGACTAGGAGTAGTGAGGATTCTGGTTCTGGAGAAGATTGCGAGATATTGAGTCACTATATGACATTTCGAGAGAGTGGAAAAAATTGGAAATCGATGATTTCTTCCCGGAGGAAGTCCACAGAATGATCATCGAAACTTGGGCGCTTCTAGCCAGGTGACCATTAAGTCTTCTAGGAAGTACTCAAGAAGTCGCATCTGAGAATTTAGGTCGCGTTCTTCCCATGCTCACAGATTATGAAATAATGAGATTTAATTCATTTAATTTCTTATCGCCTTGGACGTAGATGAATGTTTGTCTTTATATTTCCCAGTTATCTAATGCAATAAATCACACATTTATTTTGTATGTTTTCTCCGCCGCTGCACCAAAACATTATGAGGTTGAGTGGGAGCGATTTGTAGTGTTCATGCAAAAGATTTATGTGGGCATTGTAATCGTCTGAATGTTTTTGAAAACTGAATATTTCTAACTTAAAACTACAATAGTATATTCTGTCCAAATAATAAAAAATCTCGGATTAAATTGCCTAATTTCAAGATTGTGAATGTTTTAATCTTGTTCAAAATATTTTATAGAAAATATAAACTGTATTTCGCAACATTTATTCTATTTTAGCTTCCTGAAATGAGGTAGAAATATTCACGAAAACACGATCTCTCAAATTATGATGTTAAATTTATGATATTCTGAATTATGATATCAAATTTTTCTATTGTTTCAGGTAAGAACACACCAACTTTGCTTACTTGAACTCTTGAACTACTGCGAGTGGCTGCTCCAATCAGGTGCGGAGCAAGAGAGTAAGTGATATTTTCATTACCATCGAAATAATTACACTTGATTAAAATTGTTTATCCTCCGCCTAGAGCCACGCACCCCGCCCCCGCACGGTGCGCTTGACACCACACCTCGAACACCGTCCCTGCCTCCTCCCCCTCACGCCTGATACGGCTCTCCGCGCCACTCTCTCATCCCCCGCCACGAGCCATTCCGCCATTCCAGAGCCACGCCCCACCAAGACCCACGCACCCCGCCCCGCTCCGCACTAGACGTGCGACCGACATCGATAACAAAGTATCGATGTGGGTAAGCATGGATGTACAAAATTAAAACGTCGACGTTGAAAATACATTGACTAAAACCATAGATGATTTTCAACATTGTTGTTTTCGGCTGCTTTAGTAACATCTGACATTAAAGTTGTGAGCATTAAAATTTAATTTGTGTCTTCATGTTTATCAATTTGTCGAATAAGAGTGCAATAAAAACAGAAACCCCACAGCGATTTTTTTACCCACATCTCAATGTGCAGAATGAATATGCAGAAGGAGAAAATACAGTGGCATAGATGTCATCTCGGGCGAGAGAGTTTGGTCGATGAAGTTGTTGCAAACAGCGTCCCTTTCGTTTTAACAATGAAGTAAGTGTTACCACCAGTTATTTTATATTTTAGTTTTTACAGTATTGTGATCATGGGAATTTTTCATTCAGATACAAAACATCGGAAAGAAAAGAAACATCGATGTCAAAAAACATTGGCGATAATACATCGATGTTTCTACAAAATCACGGATGTTTTAAAAACATCGGTCTCGATGTTGCATTCTTGCTCCTTACCGCTCTCTCACGATCCGCCCCCACCTCGCACTCCCACAGCACTCCCCGCGCACTTCCTCTCCCCGCAGCATGCGCAACGCCCCGCACCCCTCCCTCGGCCTTCCCCGCTCCCCAACCCACGTTTCTTATTATTTGAGTATTCGCAATGAATGCGCCTTTCTTGGTCGCTCCCACCGCCCCCTGCACCTCCGCCTCCTTCTGCCTTTCCCTCATCTTCTTTGGTCTACAGGACACACTGTCCCGAGCTTCATCGACTTTTTCTTATCACTCGCTCCCCTCTCTCCCTCTCCCCTCCCTCTCTCCCTCCTCTCCCCCCGCTCTCTCCCCTCATCTCCTCTTTTTCTTCCCCTCTACTTCGCCCCTCTCTCTCTCTTCCTCTCTCCTCTCCCTAACCTCATCTCCCTTCCTCTCCCCTCCCTCTCTCTCTCCCTCTCTCCCTCTCTTCTCTCTTCCCTTCCCTCTTCCTCCCTCCCCTCTCCTCTCCTTTCTCCCTCCTCTCTCTCTCCCTCTCTCTCCCCTCTCTTCTCACCTATTCTCTCCTTCCTCTTCCTTGCCTCTCTTCCCTCTCTCTCCCGCTCTCTCCTCCTCCTCTTCTCCCTCTCTCTCCCTCTCTCTCTCTCCCCTCTCTCTCTTCCCGCTCACTTCTCTCCCTCTCTCTCTCCTCTCTACTCTCCCTCTCTCCTCCTCTCTCCCTCTCCTCCTCCTCTCCCATCTCTCCTCCCTCTCTCTCGCCTTCTCTCTCCCCATTTCTTCCTCTCGGCTCTCACGCCCTCTTCTTCTCCAACTCATTCTCCCTTTCCCTCTTCTCTCTTCCCCTTTTTCTTCTTCTCCCTCTCTCATCTCCCTCTCTCTTCCTCTCCCTCTCCCTCTTCTCTTCCTCTCTCTCATCCCTTCTCTCTCTCGTTCCTTCCCTCTCTCCTCCATCCCTCTCTCTCTCCTCTCTCTCCCTCTCTCTCTCTCTCCTCTCTCTCTCTCCCTCTCTCTCCCTCTCTTCTCCCTCTCTCTCTCCCTCTCTTCCCTCTCTCTCTCCTCTCTCTCTCCTCTCTCTCTCTCTCCCTCTCTCTCTGCCTCTCCTCTGCCTCTCTCTGCCTCTCTCTCTGCCTTCTCTCTGCCTCTCTCTCTGCCTCCTTCTCTGCTCTCTCCTGCCTCTCTCTCTGCCTCTCTCTCTGCTCTCTCTCTCTCCTGCCCTCTCTCTCTCTCTGCCTCTCTCTCTCTCTGCCTCTCTCTCTGCCTCTCTCTCTCCCTCTCTCTCCCTCTCTCTCCCTCTCTCTCTCAATCTCTCAGACAGCTTCATTTTGTGTCCATTAATTTTTCATATTTCCTCCCCTCTCCTCATTCATCACCTCTTTCATTCTCTCTCGTTTTTTCTTGCATGCTCTCGTTCATCATATCGTGACCTCTCTCTTAAAAATGATCTACATTGAAGTTACCAGCATTGCATATTACGTATTTTACCTCGGGCAGCTAAACTAACATGGTCGCTAAGCCGTAGAAACATTTGTCCAATGTTCCTGGAAATGTTCGTTTATTTTACCTGCAGTACAGGATCGACTGTTTATGTCGTGCTGCACTCCCGCTAATTTTTCACTCCTCCTTTGGCTCGCACCAAGTGTCCACTGTTTGAGCAATAATAAATGCAATTTTGTGAAAACTGAACGATATTATACTCGCCAGAATATTACTTCTTTCTTATTAATGGAAATACATTACCGAATATTCTCATAAAAACCAAATTAAAATATTAGTGTTTTTAAAATAAAAGTTTACCTCAGGTCTGCAATTAAAACTGTACAATAGCTTGTTTACTTATTTATTTCCACTGAATTTCTGCTTATCTGATTCTACTAAATTATTGTGTTTATTCCAGATTAATTATTTGGTAGGCTTTTTTGTGTTTAAATGTTTATTTTGAAGTAATTATTTCATAAATTGTATTTTAACATAATATTTACTACTCACATACACGTAAGAAAAACTATGTGTTGTGTTGTAAGAGTAATATTGTATGATAAAATTAGAACTACAATAATAGTGAATTTTTTATTCATCTGAATCTGAAGGTAAAACTTTTAAAATGTGGTACACATTTTGCATTGAAAATCACATGAAAAGGCGACATTCAAAATTGCGCCCATAGCGGGAACCATCCCTTCGTATTGCGACCCTCGCTTCCGCATGTGTGAGCCCTCCGCGCACTGCCCTCCTCCCTGCGTGCCGGCGCTGTCTGCTCCTCGCGCCGCGCCGTGCCCTGCCCCATCGTCGCCCGCCGCGTGTTTAGCGTAATTTTTCCGGAAAGCGTTTACTGGGCGGGAACGGCCCCCGGTCACGATTCTACTCCGCTCCGCTCGCCCGTCCGCCCGCCCGTCCTGCCTGCCTCGCCCGTCCGCCGGCCTGTCCGCCCAACGCAAACGAGCGCGCGCACGCAGTGGGGCAATGCCCTCGGAAACTGATGCAACGCACATACTTTCTCGCATGATTTGTAACTTTCGCATTTTTTAAAAATTCAGATAGTTAAACGAAATGAGAGCTGCGCCTTTTTTAAGCGTCTTGTACTCTATCATAAGAAATAAATTAAAGAAAACTTTAGAGCCTTTTTGAGAAAATATCGTTAATTGTCTATATTTCACGCAAAATTACTCGAAAATAGCTCGAATTTGTGAAAAATTGGACATGACTTTATTTAAAGATCTATCTTTAAAAAACTGATTTCATTAACAAACAAAATCAATTTTCATGATTGTAGTTGCATGAAGACGCCGAACTAATTTTGAAGTTTGATATTATTTTGCCGCAACTACAGAAATGTTGAAAATGTGTTCTGTTGCTATACCTCAAAAACCAGGAAATATTTTTAACACAAATGTGCAGCAAATGATTCTATATTAAGGATATCTGTAATTCGTTTTTGCATGTTCCTTCAATTGCATTGCAATTTATTTTGGGGCCGGTTGAGGGCATCAACTGTGTTGCTGCTGCAGGTCCCGCGGTTCGAGTCAGGACGGTCAGTGGCATGATTTTCGACTTTAGCCTGTCAGCTAGGTTGAATTCAGACGCTCTCTGGAGCAGAATTCTAGCAGCCAGCAGCTCTCTGATGGGTCGTTTTCCGTGGTTTCCCCGATCAACACTAGGTGAATGCCGGAGCAGTACCCTAACAAACGGGCTACCGACCGCGCGCAATCCTTTCTTCCTCTTCCTCACCTCTTATTTACCCACAAACTTACATACACTACACAATCATATTCGTCTGGAGACTAGGGGAGAACATCGAGCTTGTCGCGGTTGGTGCGCTGCGCGCTGGTGGGAGATACCTGGTTGGAGAAAGTCCCCGCGAGCCGACGTACGAGGGCGCCGCATTCGCCGTCCAGCGGGGAAGAGCCTCCCCGCGACAAACACTCGCACTACTCTTACGAAACTAATGACCTTAGCAGTCGACGCGCTCGGAACTATTTATTTCGCTTTCACTAGGGGGCGCCGTTGATCCCCTCTTTGGTGATTTGCGGGAGCCGAAATGGCAACAGTATAAAACTGTTAATGAAGAAAATTTTGCATTAGTGACGGGGGAACCTAAATATTGAATTGTTTCTATTCTTTGTTCTCCTCATCCTTCTTTTATGTTTGTGTGTATGTATGTACTTGGCGCGACAGCCCGTGAACGCCTACAGGCGACGTCCCTGCCTCGCGGTCATGGGTTAAGGGGCTACGTGTGGTTATCATGTGTATATGTTGCTTTACCGAGTCTGTTTTTAAGAAACCATTACAATGAAATAAACTTTATAACAGACGTTTATATATTCATTATACTATTTTGCGTTTCATTATTTGATTATTATTCACGATATAATATCGTCTTTTAAACGTTCTGTCATATTAATCGCGAATGACATACAAATGGTCATATACTTGTATTTTTAACAGTTGTCACCACATACGTAATAAGACGTAAGCAACCTTTCTGTTCGTATACTTCGCTCTACAACACGTAAAGAAAACTAAGGTGCATGATAAAAATCACATTCGTTGTAAAAAAGATTAGATGAATATAATATATAATATATAAAATATACAATTTTATTATAAATGCGAGTGTTTATCTATAACAGAGCTCCCACCGGCATGACATAACTATCGGCAGCGATTTCTGTATTTTCCGTCTTTGCTTACATATCACATTTTCTGAATAATTCATATTTCGCTGCATGCATTTCCGAGAAACCTATAAAGTTTGTAGTAGCGAAGAATCGATGCAGCCCAGTAGACCTGAAGTTTCGTGTTGAATGCGACTGCCTGAAATCCAACTACAAACCTCCAGTTGCAACACCGAGTTTCGTCACACATTGACGACACAAGGAAACCGACGAAAAACCCCTGATTTGAGGAAGCGTTTCGGGAATATTTACTCACTCATTTTCACTATGTTTCCTCAGATGTGTAATACATGAGGAAACATACGGGTTCTAAAATGTATTATTTATTCACTTCCACTATTCAGTTTCTACACAACAGAAATATGACACAATGAAGGCGAGAAGAAAATCACACTGCTCTTTAATATTTCTTTCTTTTTAATCTTCGATCGCTTTCCTAAAGTCTGCCATAAAATACATCTACGCTTGTAATATTGAAATAAAGTATGCATTAATTTGCTCTGTCCGGTTTTCGATTGCTAACGAGTATTCGTACTGAGGATTTTTAATAAATCGACGTACTACAGAAAATGTGAGATTAGGTAACTTTTTATCAGCTATTCGCGAAAGCAATTAAACAATTAAAAATAGTATTCAACAGGTACAGATATTTAATTAATTGTACTGCAGATGGTTGGTTCTCATTTCTTATGAACGCCTTTCTCCTTTATTAAACTAAAATGTAACGATTCGATGTCTAAAATGACCCCCCTTCTTGTGTCAGCGGTTGTATTTAAATGGCTATTTGTTATGTTTGGGAAATTTAAATACACTAAATATTAATATTCTTAGAAATTTATGGACTCATTCTTCAAATTTCCACAATAAATTCCTATTTTAAATGCATTTAAAATAATTCCGAATTTAGAGATTTTGGAGAATAAGATCTACATACGGAGACGGTTCGTCCACATATCTCGAAAAATAAATAATTTAATGGCACTCGATTTTCCGTGAATTGCTTATTACAACCATCCCTTCAATTTTTAAATCATCCATTCCCGAGGTTATTGAGGCAGGATGAGTGTCAGGTCGCAGGTTGTGAAACTGATCGCAGTAATGTCTCCGTTTCCTAGGCGTGACAGCCGCCCTACCCGGTCGATTTGCATGCGAGCGCTGTGAATGGATCGTGGATGTGGACGTGTGTTTGTAACCGGGTTCGCCCGGCAATCAGGTTATCCAAGCCCCAATCGGACGGACCTCTGGCGAGCGGGCGGCGGCGGCGGCGGCGGCGGCGGCGGCGGCGGCGGCGGCGGCGGAGGCGTAGGCGGCGGAGGCAGAGAAGTCGCGTGTAAGTGCGGTACCGCACTAAGCCGCTTCACGGTACAGTGCACTGTCGGGTGCCCTCCCTCCCACCACTCTACTTCTGCGAACGGCTCAGACAAGATGCACCATTGTACAATGTACAGGAATCAGAGGACGAAGCTCTCTCTCTCTATAAGTGACTGTGAAAGAAAAATTGATGAAGTTTTTCTAATGTCGCGTATCTGCATGAAAAACGATATTTCAACGTGTTCACATTCATCTTTACAGTTCAAGGTAGGATTCAATTGTTTACGGACACCTTTTAAAGGAGGAGGGGCGCAAGTGTTGAGCACAAAATGTGGCAGTTCCGTGCGTTTTGTGCGAGGGACCCGTGCACCACTTGCCTGCTTACACCTGCTTCACGTCTGTTCATCCGTGTGGAATTGAAGCGTTCGAAAACGTGGACTTCCTCGGCCGGAGACAGTGCCTTCTTGGCTGTCTGGGAGATGCCGCGTCCTGGACACAGATGCTTTCTGCGTCCTTCCTCAGGGAAAAATGCAATAAAGGGGTAGTTAGAAAGTAACTTAACTCCACGAATATTTTTTTTAGGAATGGAAAGTATTCACATTCCCCTTTACAGTTTTAGGTAGGGTTCAATGGTTTTCAGATACTTTTTTAACACAGAATAAACACAACTTTTGAACGCAATATTTGTTAGGACTACACAGAAGCATCTTAAAAATATATCGATAGCTAAACAAGGAGACAAAAGGCATTGGAGATACGTCACTTCGGAAGTAATTTCTTCAATCGCGGAGAGAAATGTTCTGGACAGGCGATTAGCCCATGGATGCGAGTTTCCCGAAGTACGAGTACTTTTCGGTTAAGAGGCTTCTATCGTCCCAATGTTGACGTCAATCAAAGCAATAGAAAGTGCTGCGTTTGTTTAATGCGAGACTTATTTTTCCAGCTGAAAAACTTTACTTTTTATGTTCCATTACATATCTTTAATTCAGTGTTTAATGTTATATTGGTCCATTTTAAGAATTGCGGATTAAAATGTTTTCCCCGACAATTATTATGGCATATTCTTAATTTAATACTCAATGGACTTCAAATTTTTTTTACGAAATATTGGACATTTATTTAACCTACCAGGATATTGATGTTAATTGAGAAATCGTGTGGTGTACGACTCCAATGACCTATATTTATATATCTGGAGGTATAATTTGACTGCGGTTATTCGACAATCATTAAATCTGAAAGAAGGACGACAACGTGTTGATAAAAGTTGTGAAGAAAAATCTTGTTTTATTTCATAAGACTTCTTTTCTTCTGAGATAATTATTTTATATGCTGCAACCTTTTAATAATAAGTTTTTAAAATCTGATAGTGTTACTTTGTATTTCTCGGTATTTGAAGTTAGAGCACTCGCAAATTTCACCCACATACCTATCATATTAGTAAATGTACTAAAACCTTTGATAAATTAAGATATTTAAATTATAATGATAAGCATTAAAATTATTTTCAGTTTGGGCATTTGATTTACTGTCGGATTACACCGTCACAAGAGGTAAAGTTCGTGTACTTAAAATATATACAGAATTCGATGTTTTGTAGACTTTTTCAGCCTTTCTTAAACTGCATAAATGGCTTAGAGAAGTTTTCAAGTGGTTCTCAGAACCGACTTTTGGATGTCATCAAGTTCATGCGAGTTCATATTGAAATACTTGCCAACTTTCCACGATTCCTCAAAATCAAACTTTCAAGAACGCTTCCTTTCTTTTATAGATGTGAGTGCACATGATGGTTGCGTCGCATCGCCTGTAAAGATGACAAGAGTCAGATGATCGTTAATTCGTAACATCGTTGTTCTGATAATGAACTCTCTTATTTTTATAAATTTGAAAAACTTAATCACAAGTGAAAGAAAACATTAGGCGATAACGGCATTTTCCACACGGTCACGGAAGGAAAATATTTTTTAGGTAATAATTATTGACACATACTTGGAATGCAGACAGGATTCATTATATGTACAAACATATCAGCTAAAGTCACGTCTTTTCTAAGAAAATGCAACCGTTAACGAATATAAAAGAGCATTTTAAACATCATAATACTCAATGTTTTATCTACCTCGATGAAAAGTACAATGCCTCAGAACAAGCAACATATGGGTATTTATTGTAAAACAAAGCCCTTCATTTCTTACACCGAAAGCCATTCGCCATGTTTAAAGTCTCGGCTCGCTGGTCCTCGACCTGCCCGTGTGGGTGCGCCAAATTCTCAGAATCATACATTCGCCATGAGCATGCGCATGGGCGTGCTAAGCTCTTATCTCTGGTTGTGCGGTGCAAGTTCTCTTGCTCTTGCGAGCTGCATTTCGAGAAGTTCCTCGTGTGTGTGTGTGTGTGTGTGTGTGTGTGTGTGTGTGTGTGTGTGTGTGCGGCGCTTTGGTTCTTCCGCTGTCGTCGCAATAACTGGGTTTAAAGAAGCTTTCGGTTCAAAGGTCGAGTACATTATGTATAAGGGATTCCGTTTGTGTCTGGATTGTCGAAGTCTAGATTTTCAACCTCCCTGAGATAGGGAATTTAATTTTCTTTTGAATCGTATGAAGTTTGGTATGTACGCAAATGCTCTTGTATCTGTCAATCGGTTGTGCCAAATTTTTTGAATATTCACGAGTTTATGATTCATAGCATATAATCTTTCGCTATAAAATTCCTCTATCTAATAAAAAATGTAATGTGTTTTCTGTGACTAATACTATTGGGGCAGATCTGGAGTCGCAGTTTGAGATACGTCAAGAGCAGTAAAGAGCATTATTAATTCGTTTTAATCCACGTTAGTTATAGTGTTCTTGAACATCAATTCTTAAATTTCTTCTCGAGTAAAACGAATGAGTATTATTCTAACATCTTTGACGTAAGATAAAACTCTAGAAGATGATCGTCTCCCCCACACGTCACAAAAATAATTTTAGTTGCGTTTTTTAATAAATAACTCTAAAATTTAAATATTTATCATAAAATAATTGATACAATGATTAATAGAAAGGCAAAGAATAATGGGTAAATTAGGATTTTTTTCTTATAAATAATGGCTTCAGTGATTTTGATTTTTGGTTTCGTGATTTTAGTCCATAATTGCCAAAGTCAGAAATTGTAAGTTATGTATCTCCGTTAATACCTTTGTAGACAAAATCACTACAAGCCAAAGCGTCCACACGAATTTTGATTAAAACACGAATATGGATTGTACTAGCAATTTATGAGCAATAAAGCGACGCTTTCAGATTTTCAAGAGCATGTTTCAATATTTTGGAACAGATTAGAAAGTATTTTTGATACTATAATTTAAATTTGTTACATTTTCTACTAACCTTGATTTTTTCATCAAAAGTGGGTGGTATAATCAAGCTAATTATTTAAAGAAGATGAAATTCCGAGATGAAATCGTATTGCTGAAATGATGGTATTTGCGTTTGCACTTAAATCAGAGCGCGAATTTTCTCAAAATACCGAAACTGTGTGTGTGTGACAGTGGAAAGAAGGCTGGAAGCTGGAACGAAGAGGGAGATGATAATTGATAATATTACCGTAAACTGCCCTGGATTTGTGGTGAAACAAAAAATGTAAACTAAATTGAACTATGTTGTAAAAATGTAAACTAAGCTATAATTTTGAATAATGTTTTTTGTAATTTTTTGTCCGTGATACATTTGATGTTTTTATATATTCCATTAATATACTTTATTGCCATTTGCATTTCGGTTCTTTTTTCTGAAAGTAAAACTCAATGCGTTAAAAGAAACAGCTCACAAAGCCCCTTCTGGGTGCACAATTAAATTCTCGTCAACGGTTTCTTTTCATACAATGGCTCTTGAAAATTATTGGCGCAATATTTTAGCCCGTTTGTTGTAAACCACGAAGGAAACCAGGTCTCAAAGAGTCTGAAAACGTTGTCAAACTCGCATATCTGAGAATAAACGCGAGCTCGCTCAATATCGCAGTTGGCGCGCTGATTGACGAGCTGCGGGCTGGAGCGTTTCATTTTCAGTCGATTTGCGACGAAGAAGCTCGTTCTTCGCGGCCGCCGCCCTCGCGCGCCTTTCCAACTTCACACGTCTTCGCCCCCGGACGCCGCGCGCGCGATTTAGCGGAATGGCTGCTGCGACGGGCAACGGGGCGGAGATTAAGGCGGCGTAAGACAAGGAATTCGTGCCCGTGGCCGCCGGAGAGCCGACCCGTTGAACCCGAGTGGAAAGCCTTGCCCTGAGGAGCGCAGCCCAAAGCGAAGCCAGTTTGTGTGCGGGGCGTGAAGGGCCGGGCGGGCCCTCGCCGTCCATTCTCGCCCCGAGCAATCGACCGGCGAGCCAACAGGCGCCGGACTGAGGCACGCCTCGAAGCCCGGACCGCAGCTGCGCAAACGGATGTGGCGCGCTGCCTTTGACTGATTCCCGGAGCAATTCGTAGCAAGTTGTGTGCTCGGGCGACAAGTGAGTTGTCCAAGAGGTAGAGTTGGTTAAAACGACGTGTGATTTCCGATCGGTCTAGACAGCGTGTAGTTTGAAAGTTTCTTTATCGTTGATTTTGTGTTACTATCTTTTATTGCCATTTTGGCAACATTAGTGTATCATAAGTCTTCCTGAGTCCTATACTCCCCGGAGGGCGATAGGCAAGAATGAAGACTTTCTGAAAGAAGTTGTTCCCTACGTTCTATATAATGCTAATTCATTCTGTTTTTAATTCTTAACAAACTAGATGATTAGATTAAATGTTTTTAAAATGTTAGAGCGACCAAAAAATCCAATAATAATAATAATAATAATAATAATAATAATAATAATAATAATAATAATAGTTTTAGAATTGGAAAGAACTGCTATACCCTGTCCAGATGATTATATCATTCGCGGTTAACTCTCATGGGTTGCTGATAAAACCATAAATAAATGAGTTGTACTAAGAAGAAAAGGATAATATTTGAACTCGTCAAACTATATCGAGCATTATGCAGACGAACAGGTCTGATTCTAGGCATACATATATCAATTTTTAGTCTCTTTACCCATATTCCTTTCATATTACTAGCGTCGAAATTCGAGTTGAAACAAAAATAAGTTGTCTCGATATTAAAACTGTCCGTATTTTACTTTTTCTACGTACTTGAATTCAAGAATTATATTTATAGAATAAACTACGAATGTATTTTACATAAAAATATTTAATACTTTAAGATACACCTAAATTAAATACTGTTTAATACTTGAATTATTTACAAATACATAAAAGGCAATTTTCCAGTTAAACCAGAATTCCATTGTTAAATGTCGAAGTATCGATTTTATAGTACTTAAAGACGGATCACCTGTATTACCAACTTTCCATGCGCGCAGAATTTGATTGAAAACTTTGTACATCCAGCCTTGTGAGTGTGTTAACGATTTTATTAGACCCATAAGAACTCGGCAAAAAATCCAAAAACACAATGAATCCGTTTCGATTTTGACAGTATGTCAAGTATTGGATAGTGAATATTTTATTATTGGGTTTGTTGTTGATCTTTCACAATAGCGTGCATACTACTTTTTTAAATAAAAATAACTTTTTGTACATATTTTTCAGCAACATTTTTGCTGCTATTAATATTTACTACATCCTTTTACGTACGGAATACCAACTTACTATCTCATGAAGTGATATTTTACAATTACTGTTCGTGTAGAATTTCTGTTTGTTTGTTCTTGATGATACACCACATCTGATACGATCAACAACATAGCGACGAATAAAAGCGGATAGGATCTCTCGCCTTAGGATAGGTTATCGCTCAATGGGAAGGCTTCACTCATTCAAGATTTATAACCCTTTCTCTTCGTTCGTTTTGGGAACTGACCTGGGGACCTATCATTAACATCGGAGACATTCCATCCTCTCCCATCGAAAGCTTGAAACATTATTTACCAATTTAATATTTCTAAAAAATGCAATTGTAATGGTTTCTTTGCGCAACACGGGTAAACAATATCTTTTGAAAATCTTGATGGGAATGTCCGAACACTTTTCATACAAGCATTCCTGTGCTCAAACTTGGATGTCATTCTAATATGTTACCCGTCAACCCCAACCAAGAATAATACGACGTTCAAAAGAGTCGAGGGTGATTCTCCGTGGGATAGACAGTCTCTCATCCACTCAGCATTGACCTCACACCCACCCACCGAGATTCCCGTTCTTTCAGCGGGCGACCTTGGAAGGTCACAGATCTGGGAATCCAATCAGGAGGTGATCGCAGCGGTTTGATCCGCCGGTGGCGGTGAAGAGAGCTGGGGAGCGTAAGGGGCTGCGGGGTGGCAAGTGGGTGCTTGGCGGGGCGCGGAGGGTTGCGGAGTGATGGAGTCGGCAGGGCCGTGGCGGTGCTAATGGCGTTGGGAGCGATGGGGCGAGTTGGCGTAGGTTGCGGGGGTGGGGGCGGGGGCGGGAGCGGGGAAGGCGGCGCGGACAGCGGGGCGATGGCGATGTTGGTGCGTTGGCTGTTGTGCGGGAGCGATGCGTGTGGAGAGGAGGCGCCTCATGAATTTCGTTAGGCCTCCTTCTTCCTGCGCCGCCCTGCGC